AAAAAAATCCAACAGCAAAAATAACAATATTTATTGCCTTTCGTTTATTCGGATTTACATTACGTCACTTAGTATCCTCCATGGTCCACTTTTACTGTTAGCCTTAAACATTGTTAAATTGGCAATACCTAACGCTATTTTTACTTTTCTTTATATATATATATATATATAAATATATATATATATATATAGGGTCATCCACAGACAGACTATTTCGCTGTGGCTAGACGTCTTATTGCTTCGAGCTGCGATCGAAACCCAACTTATTTGACATCAGTCCGATATCTTACATCTAGGCCATTGTCACACGGCAGAGAAGAAGGGAAATTTTAACGTTTTTTTTTCTATAAAATTATTTCTTTTATACACCAGCGGCCAGGAGAACTCAATTCGTATTTGAAGAGTAATGCATTAATAGCAGTAAGAGCCGCTGTTTTTAAAATCTCCTTTCTCTCGAGAGTTCAACCGGACTTCCGGGAGCATATATAGTGCCATCCACCGACAAACCGTTTCGCTGTTTCACAGCTCTTCAGTGTGGCTAGACGTCCGATTGCTTCAAGCCAGGATTTGGTTGGATTAATGCGAATTTGTGGCCCTGGGTTTCACGCTATTTCCGATCGTCAAACAATTACCGCGCTTATATAATATATAAACAATATATATGAAAATTGCGTGTATATATATATATATATATTTGGTTGGATAGATGTGAGTTTGTGACCCTGGGTTTCACGCTTTAGCGATCGTCAGACAAACTGATTACTGTTTTAAAAAATTTGGGTTTATGTAGATTGCGTGTATTGGTGTTATTGTGGAAGTGGTGGGGGAGATTTCGTCGTTTTGTCATTCATCGTACTAACGCAAACATCGATGTATGCAGACACATATACATATACATACTTGGTCGTCCGTCGGGACTCATACATATATATAAAATATATAAACATATGTAGACAGTTTCGGCTATGACACATGTATGTATACGGGTGGTGTTATGTCTATACATACGCATTTGTATGTTGAAATGTTGAAATTTAAACATTGGAAGTGTGGCGGAAATGTCTCGTTATTGTCTCGTGAATGTATCCATGTCATATGAAATTTTTTTTTTTTTTTTTTTTCCGTTGAAAAATATTTGAAAAATATTTTCTCGCATGTATGTATATATGTGTGGTGGGGTTTGTGTAAAATTATGATAGGTAAAAATTATTATTAAATTATTTATATTTATTTTTAAATTTTTTGAAAAAAATGGGGTTTATTTGTTATATTTAAAGCTGGTTATTTGTTTGTTTTTTGGTGACTGTGTATATGTAACAGGTAAAAATTGTAATCCTTATTGTTTAATTTATATGGTGATGTTTAATTTAATAACGGGTTTATATGATATGATGTGATAGTAATGTTTCAAAGGATTGGAGACAATGCTATTTAGGTTTTAGCTAATAGTTATTGTAAACTGGAAGAAATTGCAGATTGGTAGAAATGATTAGTAACGGTGGTGGGAGAATGATAAAACCATGAATGTAGTTATAGTGGTGGTAGCTTGAACTAAAAAGTGGTTGTTGGTGTTTTATTTTGTTTTATTTTGTTATGTGTATTAATTTATTTTTGGTATAAATCCTGATAATAGGTATTCTATGTAAAATTATGGTAGTTGAAGATTGCTATAATTTTTAATTACAAAATTATTATTATTATATTAAAGCTGCCTGGTAATAGGTGTTTGTTCTCATGGTTACATATGGAAATTATATCTGATCATATTGTTTTAAAGTATTAAATGTGCTGGGGGGGTAATAAAGATTGTAGTGGATTATATGTTAATAGTGGGATGTGATGTGTAAGTGATGGTGCTGTGTGTAGGTGGTAATGATAATATTGATAGTTAATAGATATTGTAAGGTGGTAAAAGTGATTACTAATGGTGGTGCAATTATAATAATGATAGGTGCAATTATTTTGATGGTATCTTGAAATTAAATTGTGATTGTTGGTGGTTTCTACATACATATGGCAGCAAAAAGACAAAAACATCACACCAACAATAAGTTGGGAAATATTGAAAAAAGCCCCTGCCTACAACAACATTACGAAAAAATGCCTACTTTGCCTACACGAAAAAGTAGCAATAATATCACACAAACCGCAAAAGAACTTGCTAAACAAAAAATCAGAGATAATCTCCAAATGTAGGCACGAGAACAAGTATCTATTATCCGAATTCATACCAAACGGATAAAACAGACAAACCACCAACAATCACAATTTAATTTCAAGATACCATCAAAATAATTGCACCTATCATTATTATAATTGCGCTAAAGCGTGAAACCCAGGGTCACAAACTCACATCTATCCAACCAAATATGTTAGCTCTATCTCTGATATTGAGCGCTTTCTAATAAGTACCGCGCATATAATATATAAATAATTATACATATATATATATTTATTTATATTTATATTCACTTTTCACATACATATATATATATATATATATATATATATATATATATTACTGTAAAAAGTTAAATCCATAAAAAGGGAGAACAATTATAACTAGTTTTCCTTTCTCACATTTTAGAGATTTATCGAGTTGCATTTATTTGTGAATGATAGATAATCACATTGTTAATGACAATTCTAGAAAGAAACGAGAAATGGACTTTAGTGACAGGCTCCACGGTGGAAGGACAAACGTTGTTGTGAATTAGGAAATTATATTGAGAATGACATTGCTTGAAATCATGTCGTAGCCATCTATCTCTGTCTCTCTCTAAATTTGTTCATATCTACCTTGATTCTAATTTCAGATTTACGATGGATCCTAACTGTCTTATCAGCTCTCATACGACTGTGTATGGCCGGATGTTTTGGAATTATTTATTTACTTACCTGCGAACTTTACCCGACCGTTATCAGGAATGCCGCCTTAGGAACAATTTCGACTTCTGGTAAAATTGGAAGCATAATCTCGCCTTACATATTAAAATCCGTAAGTATAAAAGGTATTTCCTATCAGAGCATACATAGATCGATTAAATCCAGTATAAACAAATAGCCATAGATTAACACTAACTAAAAAAATACGAACAAAGATTGATAAAGGAAGTAATTCTAACAGCAGTTTCTTTTCCTATACTTAAAATTTCTGCATTTCTCACATGCTATGCCAGTTGTATTCTCCGCATTAATAGGTTAAATGGCTAACAAAATCTGATACTCACAGTATAGATCAAAAGCAAGAGGGAAAAAGAAAAACAACGTATAACATAATTAGTGAGTGGAACCACCTTTTAAAATGTATATTCTCTTTCTTATGTCCGCCTGGTGTGAATGTTCGTGCGAACTTTTTCCGTTTTAATTGCTCACCATCCCATTTTGGGACCATGGACAATCATGGTTAACTTGTTAAATTTAGTTTTAAAAGTTCTTGCTTGTAGGTATCTCTTGTAGTGGACCATGGCGGTGGTGATGAGTATGAATTGTAGATGAATACATGTGGGTAGAAATTTCCTGCTAGCCGGTCCAACTACATGAGAAAGTTGAACTTTAATTAAGTCCAAAGGGAAACCAACAAAACCGATAAACATGTACAAACAAATATATGTATTAATAACAAGTTACAATGAGTGGACAGTTACATGGACAGAGCGTGTGTGGTAAATATTATGCGTGTGTTGTGTTGTGGTGAATGTTCGTACTTACGTGTATTGTTCTTAGCGTGTTCCCAGCATTTGGGAAACGCTGTATCTGTGAGCGTTCACATCTTCGAGGTGGTATAAGGCTGAACGCCTGAGTAAAAAAGAGAGATTTACCTCAAGGTGGCGGCCCAAAGGCCTGAGATCGAGGCGAAGGGTCAGCGAGTATTTATAGCCAAGGGAGAGAGACCCCTGGTGAAAAGGTTAAGGAACTAAGGAGGAGCTAACTCCGACACGCTTTCTTTTTGTTGTTAATTCGTGTCTGATGCCTGTTCTGAAGATCATTTCATCACGAAAAAAGATCTGTTTATTTTTTTTTCATTATATGGCGTTTAACATTCGAAATGCTACATTTAGCAGTGAGTCAAACAAGGCAATATAGTTACGTTAGAAAAAGTACATATTTTAGTGAGAATGCTAGCAGCTATCTCCCGATACACATACACACACACGTCTTGGTTTATGATGTTAAACTACAACCGGCAGCAAGGTTTCTGAAAGGGTGGTTGGAGATTTTGAGGAGCGTGGAACTACTACTTAATTGCTGTTTTTCCCAGGTTCACCATGATCTGGAGTGATAGCACTTGTTAGGACCTCAGGTATAGGCAAATAGTGAACCCCCACCAAACAAATATCAACAGTACATTTTTATAGTAAAATTACCAACAATACATTTTATGATCTACAAAATATATATCTAAAACACATACCTTTACATTGAAAGTATAAAATTACGTATAAAACAATTAGATTGCGACAATAAATAAGCCATAGAGGTCGATGTGCCGCTAAACAAAATCAATCAACCAAACAACCAACATGAAAGAATTCTTTCGTGACATTAATCTATATAATATCCTACAATTTCTTAAAGAAATCAAATTGTATTTCAAAATATGACAACAATAATACAACATAAATTACACATATCACCACCACCTCTTGTAATCATATCCACATAAACATGTATATGTACAAAAAGCTGAGTATCATTTACCATGTATACAATTGTGAAGGCAGAATAACGTATATCATATTTTCATTACTTCAAAGCTCACAAGAAAAAATAAAATTTCGGCATTAAATGACCCATAAGGAGTTGATATGCCATTAAACAAACAAATCAATCACACACACACACACACACACACACAGAAGTTGAGATATATTGATAGTGACTGGAAGATAATCAAATAGAAAGACATTGAGAATAAGAGATGACCAGAACAGATTATGTCATTGAAGATTGCAATAATCCGTTAATCAAGTTAAGCTGATAACTTGTTCGGCGGCTTACGGTGAAACACCGCTTCCGGTATAATCACCGAAGTTAAGCAACGTCGATTCTGGTCAGTACTTAGATGGGAAACCGTTTGGTAATACCAGGTGCTGTAAGCTTGGATGCGTGTGTGGTGTAATAGATACGGAATCAGAAATCGAATAGCCGAGTTCCAATTTCAATCGGGTTCATTATATTCACTTTCGCGCAAATACCCTTGGGTAAAGTATGAATCCAACTCTTCTCCCCACAGGCTAATTAGTAGGACTGCTATCAATAAATCATTACTATCTCCAACAAATTCTTACACTCTAAAAATATTTTCTGGTTTTAAATAATCTGCAAAATGTTGATAAGCCTTAAAATCAATCTATCAATAAGTTCTTCAGCGATTGTTCTTACGATAAGTTCTTGAATTCTTTTCGAAATTTTAAAAAAATAGACTGACGAATCATTTCTAGGGACACGGTTAGAAACATGATTACATGATTAGCTGAGATTATTTTGTCTCCTTTACAGTAGAGCTGTTAGAAAAGCATGAATCAAATTTTCCCTATATTGTGCCAGTAAGATACCTGGACAACGTCATTTCTCATTGGCATAAACAGACGTGAGATTAGATGTGTGGATATTTGGGCAAATCACTCTTCCCTAAAAAAGTCTACCTATCTAGGTATTGGCAGCAAGAGAATGTTTATACTTATTATCAAACTTGACAGAGTATAATAATGATAATACGTTATCATCAACTTTGAGATAATCCATTAATATTCAAAGATTGATTCGGATATTTGGGTTCCTGTATTTGTTAAAAATTAATATAAGAAACGTTTTTGGGGGTTGGAACTGTTGGTCTTTAATGTCCAAAATTTAAATTAGTTCCTCATATTCCGTGATTTAAGGTATCTTTTATTATTTCTTTCATTTATTCTTGATATTGTTTTCACACCACTTTAAAAAATATCTCTGAAAATTCTAGTTATTACCGGATATAATCTTGTCTAGGTGTTGTATAAATAGGATTTTTCGGAAAATGATTCCCGGCGTTTCACAGACCCTGTCTCTTGACTTTGATCCGATGTGCTACACAATTTTTCTATGAGAGATCCGAGTCTTCCATTAAATGGTATTTAAAAAATTGACGTATCTTAAGCTCTTCCTTTTGCTGACAGCCATACATATTATCTTCTTGCTTTCCTTTACTATATTTGGTAGGAGATCCCGTAGTTTCCTTTCTGTATTCTGCTTTCAACATTGTGCCATCTACATATCTTTATGTTGTTCCGTCAATATATAGGAGTTTTATAATATTTCTGAGCTTTAAAATAGATTATTCAAATGATCACTTTACTTACTTCCTTTGAGTTCCAGCTATGATCAAAATGCTAAGGGGGTTATAAATTTAAGAGTAGAACGTTGTTTATTTAAATAACTAATTATAAAAGACATCAACAAAAATCGCTTATTTATAATGACCAGAAAAAATCAGATTGTAACTGCAAAAGTCAAGTTATTTTCAAGAATCTAATTATTTTTTTTATAGCTGAATATGCAAATTAATTATTTCCATTAAGTAAGCAACAAGGGGTAGTAAATAACAGATAATTTTTAGCGCATTTTTTTGTATTTACACACATTAATTTGGAAAATCTTGCAAAAATAAAAATAATTGTCAGATGTTAATGAAACTTTCAGAAACTATTCACAGATGATCGAAATTATTATAAATATTTTTTTTTTTATTAAAGTCATGGCAGAAATATTTTTTTTATATTTATTAACACCCCCATAACTAATTTTATGAAAAACTTTAGAAATTCGAGACCATCGGTTTTAGTGATTACAATAGTTAAAAGCACAAGGCTTTGAAGAATGCAAATCATGTTTTTTTTTGTTTTTTTTTTTTGGCCAACGTACCTGAAAATCAGCTGTGAATTGTAACATACAAAACTCAATAAAACAAATATATTATTTAGTTTCAAATGCTTTTATTTGTTTTAATTTGTTTTTATGAATATGGACAATATTTTCTGAAAGCAAAAAATTTTTTCAATGAAAATTGAATTTTTAATACAATTATTTCTTATTTCTTTAATTTTAAAAAAAAATTAAAAAAATGTTTAAATTGAATTTTAAAAAATATTTTAACATTAGTTAAAAGCAACATCAACCTTTCAAAATGTCCGTGTGAGATTGTCATTGTCTAGCGCTTTGAAAATTCTATAATTTGGACCAATCAGATTAGCCATGGTAATTAAGAAATGTAATTTTTGTGTTTATAGTCGGACAGTAATTATCAAGTACGGAAGACCAACCAGAAGACAATTTAGTTGCATTATTTGAGTTCAGCATTGTTCTCCGCTGTTAAGCCCTTTACTTTTGCGAAACACGTATGGAGAAGTTAATTTGAGTTTTCGTCAACTGAGAAGAGTACCTACAAGTAACAGTATCATCTTATGAAATTTAACTACTGCTAAACTTTAATTTATATGATCTTATTTTTATATTAATCTCAGTTATGACATTTTTCCATAAATGAAATATCAAAATTAATAATAAAATGAATGGAAATCCAAATAACACAGTAAAATGTAATAAATGTACATAAAATTATAGTATTTTATGTACACTTCTGATAAAATTTCATAAGAAAGGTACCTAAATTAATTAGATACCTTTTTCTTATGAAATTTAATCTCACTATTAACAGTCTTATTTTTGAATTTCTTTTATATTTTCCATAAAGCATCGTAAACGTAAAAATGAAAGCTAAGTACAAAAAAAAAAAATAAAAATAAAAATAAAAAATTAGAGCGCTGAAAGTTTTCCTTAAAAGTAACAAGGTAAATAATTTGTTCACTTAAATAATTTCACTTCCTTCCATCCGTAGAAAGAATTCTCCTCCCGTAAGTTATCTAAACGTCATGAATGTGCCTTTCGTCAATCGTCAAGCGACGCGAAAGGTTATGACCTGCTTTGTTTTATTTTCAAATTACATTTTTCGGCGCAGAAGCTAAGTTAAGCTTGGTTCAAAATATTTTAAATAAACAGTATAATATCTGTTTTTATTAAAATCAGTTTTGAAAAAATGATAATTGACTTTTAAAAGAATATCAAAGTAAGATTTTAATCTTTTTATCAAACCGAAAAAATGATTGAAAATGATTATCTGCCCTTTTTTACCAAAAAAAACTATTTTAACGAAAATTTCAGACGTGCTAGGAACGATTAAAAATGTAAAAAAATACCCCCAAAATACTTTGATCTTTCCTCTTTAATAATAATATGAACATTAGACGATAAAATTTTGTTTTCGTCAAGTTCATGTCTTTTTCATCATGCTATGCTCTTTTGTTTACATTTTCGTGGGTGAGTTGTCCCCTTTCATTCTCACGATGTGTCGTAATCGTGTTTTCAAATTGATTTTATTAAAAAATAACTGTATTTTCCCATTTTCGGACCCGTTAGAACCACCACAAAGTAATTTTATGTAGTCCTGTGAAGTTTTGTTGAAATCGGCTAAAAAATGTAAATTCGATCCAACATATAAATGTTACACACACACACACACACACACACACACACACACACACACACACACACACCTGCGTTTTATAATAAGCAAGATAAGATAAACTGAAATATTTACGCAAAAAATAAGTTAAATCTTATTTATTATAAAACGCAGACTGTGTGTGTGTGTATGTGTATGTGTGTGTGTGTGTGTGTGTGTGTGTGTGTGTGTGTGTGTGTGTGTGTGTCTGTATGTTTATATATTGGATTGGATTTCCTATATTTTTCAACCGATTTCAACAAAACTTCACAGGACTGCGTAAAATTACCTTACGGTTGTTCTGACAGCGCCAACAATTGGAAAAAACACAAATGTTTTTGCACGAAATCAATTTGAAAACACGATTCTGTCGCCAGAATGAAAGGGGGACAAGTCATATCAATTTATACTTATTATAAAACCCAGGTTGTTTGTGTGTGTTCGTTTATATATGGGATCAGATTTCCTACATTTTTCAACCGATTTCAACAAAACTTCACTTTTTTTTTGCAGGTAGTGTTTCTTATTGTTTGCACACTTTTTTCTTTATTTTTAAATTCAGAATGCTTTAAAAATTCCATTTACAAGACAATTGTTTATAATAAAATTCTATTCAATCGGTATACTCATAACGATTGAAAAGAATATTTTTGTTGGAGTTTGGGTTTGACCAATTCGTACAAAAATGCAAAAAAAAAAAAAACTAATTAAGACATGCGTGTCCGTCAACCTTAAACAATAATCTTTGTCAATTTTATTTTTCAGTCTTTATGATGGTCGATATTTGATTTATCTCTTACTGTTACATCTCCGGGCAACGCCGCGCTCTCCTGCTAGTAATAAATAAAATAATATCTTTACCAATAATCTACCGTATAATGATAGGAAAATTGTCATAAAAACACCCCAAGAGCTTGAAACATTTTGATGTTCGTTTATTTCGTATATCTTATGTTATAATATATAATTCACTTCATATACAGCATATATATATATATATATATATATATATATATATATATATATATATATATATATATATATATATATATTCATTTTTCGTATCCGGCAGATAGTGTTGTAATTTATAATATGTGTTAAATTTTCGAAGTATACAATTAAAATAACAGTATTGCTTATTTTCCATTATTTGTAAGTTGTGATCACAATGTTAAGGTAGTTACCAGTTTCAGAGCAGAACATAGGTTTAATTAAATAATTAATTATAAAAGATATAAACAAAACAATAGCCTTTTCTGTTTGGATTATAGTTGGCGGATATTATTTTCTGTTATCTAACGTCTTTGAAATGATTAAAAAAATGAGGAGAGAATAAAAATAAAGACTCGGTTCATGCATTAGAAAATGTATGAACCAAGTTTTTATTTTTATTCTTTATTTCACTTTGAAAGAATGCTTAGTGAAAACATCTCAGCTGCTAAAAAAAGGCTGACACTATTCTACTCTAGCTCGCGCTGGGTTGCTTTGTCTTGATATTACATAGCTTTTCCTCAGTCTTTGACCCTTACAAAATTTTCCTGTTGAGCTTTTTGAAGTCATCATT